AATCCATGCAAAATCAACAGCAAGCACGACAAAAGGATTCGAGACTGGAGATCGGTCATGTTTCCAGGTCATTAAGAAACACTAAAATAGAATTCCTGGTATAGGAAATGAAGGCTTTGATATTGCTGAATAGTTGTTCTTTTTTTAAAAAAAAAAATCCACAAATCAGGGAAGATAAGTCATCTCTCCACACTAATGGCAAACAATGGATGGTGTTTGTGAATTTACCATGATAGGAGTCTTTGTCATTGCCCAAACTTCAACCGGAGCGTCTCGAAACAGGATAAGAAGATACCTAGAATTAACCAAGAAACAAAGGAAAGAAGATTAGTACTAGAATAAAGCTGCAAGTAACGTTGCATAAATTTTATGCAACAACATCAGGATATTTGTAACGACCCAGATCCATCGCTAGCAAATATTGTTCTCTTTGGGCTTTCCCACAAGGCTTTAAAACACATCTGCTAGGGGAAGGTTTCTACTCCCTTGTAAAGGGTGTTTTGTTCTCCTCCCCAACCAATGTGACACATCACAATCCACCCCCCCTTTGGGGCCAGCGTCCTCGCTGCCACTCGTTCCTTTCTCCAATTCAATGTGGGACCCTCACCAAATCCACCCCCTTTGGGGCCCAGCGTCCTTGCTGGCACACCGCCTCGTGTCTACCCCTCCTTTGGGGAACAGCGAGAAGGCTGGCACATTGTCCGGTGTTTGGCTCTGATACCATTTATAACGACCCAAGCCCACCGCTAGCAGATATTGTCCTCTTTGGGCTTTCCTTTCTGAGCTTCCCCTCGAGGATTTAAAAAGCGTCTGCTAGGGGAAGATTTCCTCTCGCTTATAAATGGTGGTTTGTTCTCCTCCCCAACCATTGTGGGACATCACCATGTGAGGAGTTTAATGCTAGTATATCCCTACTCCCACATAACTCTTATCTAAAATATTCATTGAGAAGTCTACGACAGACAGAAGCAAACGTATATTGCCCCAAAATTCAAGAAAAAATAGTAGTAGAAGAGAAAACATTATATTACAAATAACAGAAAACATCAGAGACAAAGGTCAACCTTCCAGATGAAGAGGCCCTTAAAGCTCTGATGGGTGCACGTTCTGGCTTTTGCAAAACACGGAAGGTTCTATTAAAGCCACTTCTAAGACAGGTCACAACGAGACGATTAATGAAACCTCCAGACTTCTCATTCACCTGAGTCCACAAGAGTAGTGCATGTTACGTCTTGAATTGCATAATAAAATGAAAAATGCAAACGGGTATACGATAATAAAAAGGTTACTACCAATCCAGTGCTCTTTTTTATTATGAGAATCCGATACTTAAGTACATTTGTACGTGATATAATTCGAACATACGAGCAGAAACACATTGAATGTAAAATGAATATATTCAAACTCAAAATATTGACAAAATACTTAAGCATATACCTGACTGTAAGAAAATGACACCAGTCTGGAATTCCCTAGCCACCGCAAGCCTCTAACGACACTATTATGTACGGAAAAGGACGATGCAACAGAATTGGCAGAAACATCAATAACATCAATGGTTCCACTTTGAGTCCCTAAAGCAACCAATGGTACGGCAACAGCAGGATCGTTTCCTCCACCTCATATAAGAAACCAGGCTAGTCAAGTTTTTCAAACTAGAAACATCCAGCTCATTCAATTGAATTGAACCACCTCAGATCTCATAAAAAATAGTATTACAACTCTGAAGAAATACATGGGTAATATATATTTGCATGTACAGAGCTTAGTCATGAAACTTACGAGCTATTGTAGCTACTAAGGATGGAGATGGCACTGCTAGCATCGTTACTGCAGAAGAAAGAAGCTGAAGCTGACCAACTAAACTGATCTGTATCAATGCTTTAACAGTTAGCAGGCAGAAATTTCCTGATTGAATTAAAAAAGAGGCAACAGCCAAAACCATTTTCTTTATGCGAAATCGAACTTTCATGGAATAAAACAACACATGCTACATTTTACACTTAAATTTGACGCATCCGTGTAGTACTAATGGAAGAACAAAACTAAAGAATAATATTTTGGTAAGAAACTGAGTTGTTCTTAAGAAGAGCGTTAACAAACAGAAGCTAACCTTAAATGACAAATCCAGTTTGCTGAGGTCAGAGGGTGGACGACCACCACTTGTAGAAGAACCCGTGTGGTCAGTGTTGCTGTCTGAGGCTGGCACTTTGCTCATACTCACACCTGCATCATCCTTCTGAGTGTCTTCAGTGCATTCGGAAGTTACGAGCCAGTTCCATACTTTTCCATCATCAGAGATGGATATCAAGTTTATTGAAGAGACATGACCAGATTCATCACAAACATCAAATGGAGTATCAATAGCTGCTTCGGAATGTGCATCAGGCGAACGGGGTACATCAGAACAAAGCTTGCCAACATTTTGGAGGATGGAATCAGACTGGCAGATGACAACAGCAAGAACTGAAGGAGATGGAACAGATGTGCCAATTGAAGGCAGCAACTCTTCCATTGCAGACATTATGTGGACTTGTTCACCTCTGGAAGTATAAACATACAAGTTCGTCTCCTCGAAGTCAAAAATTAAGCAAAATATTCGCGGAAAAGAGTTATATACACCAACAAATCCGATTATGCAAGCCTGTAAGTCAGGTTCCTACCTTGGCATGCACAAAGAAGGATTAATACTCATGATAGAAAGAACAATTGTCATAGGCACTTAAATTTTAGTATAACTGGGAGAATTTTCCACTACTCTGCAACTCAGAATTCAAACTAGACCTCAATAAATTTATGAAGATAAATAGATATAAACACATCCACAGGTCTGGATTTACCTACAACTTTCTCAATCCTTAAGAACATACAAGTCTTAACAAGTCCATTCGTGCAACGTTCCACAGTCCCGTCCCCAAACTCATCCGACCTCCCATTTAAGTACACTTTTTCATACATAACAAACAATCTCATTACAATCGCAACTATACATCTAATCTTATAAACGCTCACGATTTACGTATCTTCGACAGCAATCCAAAATTCTTCAAAACTAGTTTATACACTTCGCAAATTCACAAGGAACGATTCAAGGGGGATAAGTTTCCATGAAATTTTTGAAAAGGGGTAGGCAACCGGACCTGAACATAATAATAACATTTACACGAAACATGGAACAACCTAGGAACCATAAATGTTATTCAACCACTTCATAATTAAACCTTGCAGATATCGACCAAGAGAACTTACCCTTTTCGCCGCCAGGTACTGAGCCTTCCATCCAGGTGAGGACAGTAGAGCAACTCACTGTTCGGATCCGGCAACACATCAAGGAATTTACCACACCCACGAGGCAATGAGGTGCTAAAAAGCGCCGCCTCATACTGCAAGTCAAACACCACCAACTCCCTTGGAAATGTTACAAACAAAATGTGCCTCCACTGAGGCGAAAATGAAAATTTCGCATTATAAAGAGGAAATATGGCGGAGGCCGGCGACGACGATCCGGCAGCCGCATCCCTTTCTAGCTTCTGCAATTCGGTGCAGTCGGTTCCAATCCGTAGCTCCTTGATGACAACGTCGTTTTCTTTCTCGCCAAGAACTTGAACCGATAGAAGGAACCCTTTGAGACCAATTACGCAAAAATGGCGCGAATCGAAAGGATCGAAGCGAATGCAAGACAAATATTCAGGGGAGGCGTCATATTTCCAGACACATCGACCAGTGGTAACACTATAGAGGGAGAGAGCCGAGGCGCCGTGAATTGCAGCGATAAAGTACGAGTCAGGTCCAGACCGCACCCAGCACAGATCCTGAACACCGAACTTGTAGTCGCTAGTATCGAACCAGATAGTTGGAGACTTCAGGCGGAAATCAAGGAGAGCAATGCGACCTTGACGATCAGCAGCGGCGAGATGAAGGTGCGAAGCGGAGGGCTCAGTAGTGAGGAGGTCACGGCGGAGGGGGAGAGGAGTCCACCGTACAGAGGTGACGAAAGGGGAGAGAGAAGAAGTAGTAGTTGACGGCGGAGGCATGGGAATTGATGTGATGAGTTGCATAGAACGAGAATCGACAATGGAGACTGAGCTGCCGGAGGGGAAAGCGAGCAGACCGGAAGGGCTGATGTCGGCGGATCCGAAGTTGTTGCGACTGGGAGGTCCCGGAAGCATACAGTCCCAGGAGTCATAGTGCCGAGTTGGGGAGTGAATCGGAAGAGACGGTGGCCCCAACGATCGGGGGCTTGTCATTCCGGTCAAAGTACGATCAGAGAAGAGAATCGGATGTTGATTGTGGGCGGCGATAAACTAGCAACCATGAGACATCGGATGCGAAAGATCCGGAAAGCGGAGGATTCGGCCGAATCTTCCAAATGGTCTTCGATTAATAGAAAATGAAAATATTGCAGATCGCGGGAGCTGACTTTTGAGCTTCAACTCGCTCAGATTCAAACAACGGCGCCAACACAATCCGCTCACCGTTGATGTGTCTGATTGCTGTTACAATTACAGCAATGTCTGTCTTAAAGATTCTTGGAAATTCCAAATTATAAACTTACGAATTCAACTTTAATGCCTTCAATGAACAAGAGCGTACGAATTCTTATAACAAAAAAAAAAAAAAAAAATCATAAATTATATGATTTTCAATAGAAAAAACACAAATTAACCTTGAATAATTTTATCAAACTGCTTAATTAATACCAAACTTAATCCTCAAGTCGATTAATCAGTAATATCTATTAATCAAAGGCGCAGAAATTTATGCAAATAAGGAAAAAAATCCTTTAGAAATATTTAAGGAGAGAAGTTTCTGACAGCGATATTAATTTCCAAAACAATATTGCATTCAAATTCGAAAAAAAAAGGGATCAAATAAGGAAAGCGAGTAGGAATGGAAATTTTTCACAGAAAAGGAATCCAATTCTTTCTATATATATTCATTCAGACGCATTGATCAATTCATCTGCAGTACTGGAGAACTTCACCTCTGCTGGACCTTTTTTCTCTCAGCCGCAGCCGCAGCCGCTTTAGTTTCCTCTGTTTCACCGCCGAATTTCACGCGTTCTTAGAATCTCCGCTGATCACCGCCGCCTCTCTGTCGCACCGGGGAGGGAATCGAGGTCGATCCATTCTGCAGGTTAGAAGTTCAATTCTACATGTTCATTTATTGTTCATTCATAATTTGAATCAGGACGTGTTTCCTTTTTCCCGTAATTTGAGCCGCATGTGGATTGGTTGAAATTTTCCAGTTTTGTTGCTTCCAGACTTAGAATTAACAGTATTCATCTGGTTCAAAAGCTGTTTTTAATTTCAAAATTGATGATAATTAAGTTAAAGTTACGATGAATTCCTCTAGAATCGTATCGATTACATAGTTTATTGTTGACTGCACTCGTTCAAATCTCTAATATCCGTCTAAATCTGTACAGATTTCATCTTTGATTTAAACTATGACGAAGTCCTGTGTTGTCTCACAAGTTAACCAACAATGTCACAACATTGTTAACCTGCACGAGTTCTTGAAAACAAAAAGAGGCATCGTGAAGTGCGCAAAGAAGTCACAATCGAGCACCAATTGGAACAACAACGTGAAACACAACTACGGAAGATTTGGTAACTTCGCAATCGAAGAATGTCACGGTTCATTCTGGATTGGCGATCGCCTCATTCGCAGAAGTGGATCTGGCCTTGTTTTCTTGGCCAAAAACAAATCATCCACCAACTCAAATTCAGAGTTTCTTGTCAAATCTTGTTTAATGGAATCATCTTCTTCACTCCAATACGAGAAGGAAGTGCTATGCAATCTAGGGCCATGCTCTAATCTAGTGCGTTGTTACGGAGACGAAATAACGATGAGCAAATCAGGCGAACAGATTTACAATGTCGTGTTCGAGTATTGCTGTGGCTCAAGCCTGCGTGATCACATTATCAAATTTGGACGTAATGGATTACCAGAACCCATAGTTCGCAAGTACACAAGAGACATTGTTCGTGGACTCTGTTACATGCATTGCAATGCTGGTTACATTCACGGTGACATAAAACCAAGAAACATCTTACTATCACCAAGTGATCATAAAGGTGGTTGTTTGGTGGCTAAGTTAGCTAGTTTTGGGTTAGCTAGGAAGCTCACTCCTGAAGTGTTATGCGACGAGGAAATCAGTGGTTCAGGATCATACATAGCGCCAGAGTTGGCCAAAGATGGCTATCTAGACTGGCCTGCTGACATTTGGGCACTTGGATGCGTGGTGCTAGAGATGTTGACTGGAAAACCAGCATGGAGCTTTGAAAGTGCTTATAATTATCTAATGAACTGCAACCAGGAGATACCAGAAATCCCAAGTAAGATATCAAGTGCTGGAAGAGATTTTGTAAAAAGGTGTTTGATCAGAAGTCCATACAAAAGAAGACCCACTTGGCTGTTAGTCAAACATCCTTTTGTTGCTGAATGAAGGTAGTAGTAATATAGATCTTTGTAACTTGTAAGCAATTTGTGAAGGAAAGCCAATGAAAATGAAAATGTATTACTCATTATTGAAATATCTGTTGATTGATCACTGTGATGTATAACTCAAATGAAGAACAACAAATTGGGCAGGATGGTGGTGATCATGAACAGGGTAGGAACTGCACCAATTTTGAGAGCAGAGTTGGGCGGCATTCCAGGGCTAGGCAAAACGTCGACGGCAAATTTCATGCCCAAATTGCAGTGGTTGCCAACATTACAGATAAAGTATTTACGACCAGGACGATCAAAGGTAACAAAAATTACATTCTCGAAAAATATTCCTGGCTTCACACATCCGTCAAACTCTGCTTGAGACTCGGGCATGGCGTAGTTGTGGGTTTGATTGGCACTTGAATTGAACCCTACACAAAACCCCCCATTTATTTCAGTACTTATGGAACATAACAATTATGAATGAGCTTAACAAGTATGGATATTTACTTAGTGTGTCGCCCACAGAGAAAGTGGTATTGGTAGCCCATTCAGAGAAGAAGGTGGGTGTTGGCGGTAGGTTCCAACCAAAATCGCCTCCGACACGGTGGTCGACGGCGGCAGCAGCATGGAGGAGAGCCCCAATGAAGAGGAGGGAAGCAAGGAAGCTCGATCTTGTTGAACCCATGTATGAACTTTGAGAAGAAGAAGGGAGGGAAGGACAAGGGTGTGGGGCATTTATAAGCATAGCTGTGGAAATGAGTTGCCAATTTTGAATTCAATAACGATAATAGGTATGGAGAATAAATTGGAATTCTAATGAAATTTGTGTTGCACGCGTTTCAAACAAATTTACCCATAGAACTTAGAGTCGTCTAAAAATGTTCCTTCATTTATAAACTTTAATTTAATATTTGAACCATTTAAATATATCTTAATTAATTTATTAATACGTGTTCCACAAAAATTATTAAAAACAAATAAATATCATTATAATATTAAAGGACGAATACAATTTTCTATTTGATTCGAGAACAATTCTATTGAATTATAAGGATGAATACATATAAAGTTGATCTATATGGTGCACGATCTTTTCTTTTTCTTTTATATTTAATAAAAATAGTGAGACACGACCCATTAAGAATGTCTTTGTACTCATCATTCATGATGGGGTAGGGTCGGTCTTGGTCCATTTTTGAATTTTGGTATGAGACTGTCTTTTCTTAAGAGCAGGCCGATCTGACTAAATGAGATTAAAATTACTCTTAGTTCATTTCTTTATTATAAAAAGTTAATCAAACTTACCACAAGATCAGTTGGATTCCTTCTCGCTTGGGCTCAATTTCATTGGTTTTCTACTTTGATTTTTCTTTGAACTCATCTAATTTGATTGTGCTCTTTGACCAAAATTACTCTTAGTTGGTTGTTAAGAATATCAGATTATCCGCTAAGAAGAAAAACTCAAATTTGATTTGGGTTATATAAAATTTGACTTCCCTTACCTTTACAAAAAGTGTTGGTAAACAAATATGAAAATTTTCATCTGATGAAGTGAAATAGTTAGGCTTTTATCAATATTAATGAAGATAATTTAGGATGAATATGCACCCATTTTGATCACTTATTATTAATATTAATGAAACACTGCTAGCTCAAAAGCATGATCTTGAAGTAAATAATACAATAATTAAGCTACGATGGTTAAGAGAAGTCCAGAGAAAGCTGCCAATAATGCACCAAATCTCAAGGACGAAGCCGAGCTAGGAGGCGGTGGCGGCACCAAGGGGGAGTTTGGCGCTCCAGGCTGTGCCAAAACGTCGATATCAAATTTCATGCCGGCGTTGCAATGGTTCCCAATAGTACAAATGAAGTAACGACGACCAGGACGATCAAGAGCCACTGAAAACACAGCTGATGTACTGAAAACTATCCCCGGCTTCACACATCCATCCAAGTCCACTTCAGAATTCGGCTCCGCGACATCGTGCATCTCGTTGGCTTTCGATCGGAACACTACACAAACACAACAAGAAACGTAAGTTTGAAATGACTTTTCAAATGCTTAGAATGATTGATTATTACGTCGTACCAAGTTTGTCACCGACGGAGAAAGCTTTGTTACTAGCCCAATCAGAAAAGAAGGTGGTGTTTGGAGGTAGGTTCCAACCAAAATCGCCTCCGACGTCGTGGTCGACGGCAGAGACGACTTGAAGGAGAGCTCCAAGGAGGAAGAGAGAAGCAATTGAGCTCATTAATTTTGGTCCCATTTTGATGAATTGAGATGAAAAAATAAGAGAAGGGGAGGTTTTTATAGAAGTTTAAAAATGATAGAATCAACAGGGAAGAACGAATCGACTTTGAACAAGTCTGGCTTGCCGTTTGACCTCACTATGTATTTGAACCGGTCAAACTTTACCTTTACAAGTTCAAAGACAAAGTAAGATTTCATTTAACCCGTGTAGTCAGCACTTCACAGGGATTCTGTAATGGCCCAGATCCACCGCTAGCAGATATTGTCCTCTTTAGACTTTTCTTTTCAGGTTTCTTCTCAAGGCTTTAAAACGCGTATACTAAGGGAAGGTTTCCACACCCATATAAATGGTGGGTTGTTTTCCTCCCCTACCAATGTGGGACATTATAGATTCGCACCGAATGAGGTAGAGAATCTCTATTTAAATGAGAAATGAGTAGAGGCAGTGGGGAGAGATTTTTCTTCATTAGCTAAACAGAGCAAACGATGCTTTGACAAGAGGACACCTAACTAAATTACACGGAATATACGACGAACATGAAACATATTTAAACTTTATTCTCTGTGACAAAGCTAATGATAGCCTTAGTTCTTTAATAATTCACAATATACATTTGGCTATGAACGATTTAAAAAAAATATATCAGCAAATTTGTAGTGTACATTCATGAAAACAAGAATCCATGAACTGTATAATTTATGCTCTGCATCGAAACGTTTGAATGTAGGGTGGGAGAATCAATGGTATTTGGTAGTTTTTGCTTATAAAACCCATCATTGCAAGAACAGAAATAGAGTTAGAGCTGATATTATTGCTACTGAGATCTGGTGCTCATAAGAACCTGTAGCCCCATGTTCCTGCATCAGTGAACAAAAGCAAGAATGATTTGTGACACCAGAGAAATGTAGTGATGCCTCAAGTGGCAGGTCAATCTTGAACAGAAGAAGAGGTATATCAAAACTCATCTTTCTCAGATAACCACTGAATGAATATATATTATGGTGATACTAAGCAGATGTCTTAAGAGCAAAAACTGAGTGAATATATACTGCTCGAATACAACATTATTGGAACGGAAACAATGCCTATCAGCTTACAGTTAGCATGTTGGTAAGGTTCTCTTTGGGCTATGTGTAACGGCCTAAGTCCACTGCTAGAAGATATTGTCTTATTTGAGTTTTCTCTTTTGAGCTTTCCCTCAAGATTTTTAAAATGCGTTTACTAGGGAGAGATTTCCACACCTCCCCTCTCCAATATGGGAGGTTTCCACATCTTTATAAGGAATGCTTCGTTCCCTTCTCCAACTGATGTGAGATCTCACAATTCACCTCCTTAGAGGCCCAACGTCCTACCTAGCACACCGCTCGATGCCTAGCTTTGATACCATTTGTAATGCCCCAAGTCCACCGCTAGCAGATATTATCCTCTTTGGGTTTCCCCTCAAAGGTTTTAGAATGCATCTACTAGGTAGAGGTTTTCACACCCTTATAAGGAGTGTTTCATTCCCCTCTTCAACTGATCTGGGAGGTTTCCACACCCTTATAAGGAATGTTCCACTCTCCAACCGATGTGAGAGGTTTCCACGCCCTTATAAGGAATGCTTTGTTCCCCTGTCCAATTGATGTGAGATCTCACAATTCACCTCCCTTAGAGGCCCAACGTCCTACCTACCACACCGCTCGATGCCTAGCTCTAATACCTTTTTAATGCCCCAAGCCTACCGCTAGCAGATATTATCCTCTTTGGGTTTTCCCTTTTGGGTTTCCTCTCAAAGTTTTTAGAATGCATCTACTAGGGAGAGGTTTCCACACCCTTATAAGAAATGTTTCGTTCTCCTCTCCAACTGACGTGGAATCTTAAACTTTTTCAAGAAGCGACAGAACCCATTTCTTACATTCACAAGGGAGACAGCAAATCATATCCTGAAGCAATGACCAAAGGTAAGAGAAACAAAGAAAGATCTTCATATGAATGTTCCAATCTAATCAACTCACAAGTTTTAGCAGATTATCTTAAGCCAACTTCAATGAACATTAAATCCTTTTAGTCAAGGAGGAAGGCTTTCATACCTTAATAGTTGAAAGTAATGCGTAAGCAGATGAAGATTGAAGTCCTTGAAAGCCAATATCATAAGCAATGCTCCCATCAGGCTTGAAAAGCCCATAGTTTCTCTCAGAAGTCGGCCCCCACTTCAAATTCTCATTAAACAGTGCAAAGATATAAGCCTTCACCACATGTTTTGGCCTAAGAGGAGTTCCCTTCTTCTTGGCAAGCCGTTTCCTCAAGTTAAAATTGTAAGTCCTTGCATTACCTACTGTAGCTGCTTCTTCATTGTCATCTCCACGTGAAGCCCATCCTGTTTCTGTAACTATGACTTCCATATCTTTATATCCAGCATCTTCCAGCGCGGCATACGCTGCATCGATCTGAGCATCGAGCATGTTATCGTAATGCAGGCGAGTTTTAGGATCGTCGATCCCTTTCGTCGATAGAAAAAGAGCATAATTGATATCAATATTTTCAGGGTCACTCATGTAGGCCAGAAATGGGTATGCATTTAAACAGAAAGGAGAGCCAATCTGTGAGAAGAACTGCAATAGAGGCTTCATATACTGAGCAACATTTTCTCTGAATTTACACGAGGAGGGTGGAAAAGAATTAGAAAACACGGCTTGGGAATGTGCTGTAGTGATCTGAATTCCATCATCTAAACCGAGCTTCTTTAGAGCATTATGAACATTTTTGGCTGCACCCAACAATACTGTCCATAACTCAAAATCACTCCCTCCCAAAACTTCATTACCTATAGCAATCCCACGAATAAGGGTCTCTGGAAGGAAGGGCTGCACGTTTTGTTTAACCCAGTTCAAGGCATGATCTTCATTTGCACTCATATCTTTCAGATATTCATTTGGAATGCTAATGACAAGCTCTAGCCCTGTCCCACTGAAGGCCTTGAGAACACTGTGATCAGCATCATAAATCCTAACATTCTTTATCTTAGCAGCTCTAAGAAGAGTTACTACTTTATCAGGTGAAGGGATGTTATTTGCTATTCGTCCATAGTTTATTCCATAAGTCCCAGTGAATGCTTCTATTGTCAACGAAGCTGCAGAAAACGGGGAGATAATTTCCATCAATCATTCTGTTCTACAATAGACAATATCGGGACTAAAGGATGCTAGATTTCATATAACAGTCTAAGCCCACTGCGAGTAGATATTGTCCTTTTTAGGTTTCCCTTCTAGACTTCCTCTCAAGATTTTAAAACGCGTCTGCTAGGGAGAGGTTACCACACCCTTATAAAGAATGTTTTGTTCTCCTCTGCAACTAATGTGGGATTTCACAATCCACCCCTTGTGAGCCCAACGTCTTCACTGGCACAAAGCTTGGTGTCTAGCTCTGATACCATTTATAACAGCCCAAACACACCCCTAACAAATATTGTCCTTTTTGGGTTTTTCCTTCTAGGCTTCCCTTCAAGATTTTAAAACGCGTCTGCTAGGGAGAGGTTTCCATGTCCTTACAAAGAATGTTTCGTTCTTCTCTCCAACCGACGTGTGATTTCGCAGATTTACTAAAAAATCCAGCCAGAAATCCTAATAGAATTCACTTCAACTCTTTCCTAGAGAACTCTACAAAGCCTGTGGCGATTCTCACTCTATCCACACGGCGGATCACTTGATCTATAATGAAAATTAGAGCATCAAAACCAAAGGACATTGACTAGAAACACTTCGCAGTATCATAATGAATAATATCAATTCAAAGCCATTGAAGACATGCTTACATAGCTGAGCATACTGTAAAGAAATGTCTTATTGGTAACAAACACTAGTAGATTATGCTAAAAGAACAAGCAATATTTCAGAGGCGCAGATATCGTTAAGTCTAAAGCTTCAGCAGTCAATACAAGGAAGGCCAAGAAGAACCAAATTGCAGAACAGAAAAGCAAAAAAAAAGCTCACAAAGTTCAACCAATAAATCCCACTTCTGCATTTAAACACGAAAAGATAGTCAGGGAAAGAAAAGCAAATACCAGGCGGAAAGGAGGAAAGAAACAGTAAGGGAATCGAGTGCAGAAAGAAGTATAAGCGCGGGTTGATCATCATTTCCACGAACACAAGCAGAAGAACAAGAAGAAATGAGTTAAATCTGTTCAATCAAGGCTCGCTAATTGGTGTGATTGAATGAACCAAATCAATCCCAAACTCAAAATCTGTAACGCTCTGCTTCTTCTTCTTCATCCTTAGGCATGCCATAACCCAAAAGATTCCCCCCCAATTACTCTCTGAACTGTATCTACAGCGAACTCTGTGGATTATCTTGGATTGAGGTCGAAAATGGAGGTGAAATGGGGTTTTTACTTTCTGGGTTTAAAGTTTGGGATGTGGGTTTTGATGGAATCTCTCCCTCTCTTTCCTCCACAACCACTTGATGCTACAACTGAGAACCTTTCTTCCATCCACTTTGGTCAGCATTGAATAGAATGGAATTGACATCATGAGCATTTACCCAATAACCCATGCGCTTTGCTCGCCAATTAGGAAGGTTTGGGATGAGCTACCATTGGCGATCGCCTCCATTTTGACCTGAGATGACGACGGCTGTGCAGTAACTCCAATTGTTCTTGGGCCTTGGGTGCGATGATCTTATACTGAATAATGATAAGCGTCACTGCAAGTATTGAATTCGAGAGCAAAAATTATTACAACATAGTCATTAGAAAATTTAATCTTTCTTAAACAAAGTAGAAAATCAAGCTTAATATTTAGAAATGATACTTAATTTGTTGTCTTTAATCAACAGCTTTACGCGTCTTCTTGATTTGTTTGTTTGTGATAAAATATTTTTGTTCAACTTTTTTTTTAATTAATTTATTCATTTGACCAAACACATTTATTATTACTTAATCCACTTTTAAAATAATTATCACAAACTTTGCATATATTACTTTTTTTTTTTTTTTTTTTTT